TAATGTAAACACTGCATTTTCTCTGAAAAGACAGTGTTTACAGCAAAAAGCCTGAAGGTAATGATTCTACTCACAAGAACAAATTCAATAAGCTGTAGTTGTTCTGGTGACTATAGTGTCCCGTTAACAATACACAAAGGGGATTATTCACTAAACTCCATGGGAATTGTAACAATTTAAAAACTGTAAGGTGAAATTTAGGCTACAATAGTTAAGCTGTGACTATAGTTCAGTTTAATAATTTTTTCCCCCATTTCCATACATATTGCATAAAGTTTTGCACTGTACTACAATTCGGTGTTTAGTAAATAAGGCCCTTTTTAACGTGCTTGTCTATTATTTGAAAATGTTTCAAAATCTTGTGTTTTTATAACTTTAATATTCAATCAATGAGGAAAGAATCAATTTCTTGGAAAGTAAAAGGCACAATAATGAAACTGCTAATGAGCTTTAAATTGCTGCTTTTCTTTCTGCTCTTCATGATGTATCCACATGCAAATTACACATAGTAATAACAGCATAAGTTCCAAGTAGGAGCTAACACAATGTTGCTTCCACCCAGGCTGCCAACTTCTTATGAATTATTAACTAGTATTACTCATAATATGCAAATTAGGCTGTTACATCTGCTCTCCTATAGTATAAAAGAATCATTTACACTGCCGCACTGTAATAGTCACACACAGGATCTGGACACTGCGTACACTGGCAACATGGTAAGGTTTGCTTTTAAGACAGGAACGCTTACTTTTTAGAAAAGTTTACATGCAATATATCACATGAATATCTGTTTTTGGTCATTTTTAACTAGAAATACATTTTAAAGCACTTGGTCTATATAGGTGCTGGTTAATGGCAATGCCAATTAATTTGTTTCTTATCTCAGTAGGGAGGTTACCTCACCATTGCAGATAATCTTGAACCATGTTGCTGGTGAGATAGCTCAGTGGGCTAATGCATCATCAGTAGAATCTGTACAATAAAATGAGTACCATTAAATTGGGTAATAGTAACAACCCCTGGATGTTGGGCTATGGTAACATCCCCAGGACGTACTTGAAAACCAGAGTAAACTGAATGTACCTTTCCTGGTTAAATATTTTGTTATTATTATATTAAACTTCAGTGCCAGGTTTAGCTATCACTGACTTACAAGACGACACATTTATCACTGAAAGAGTTAATGATAAAATATTTTGCAGGTTTCATTATCGGCTTCAGCTGTCTATTTGATATTTATGTCTGGCTGAGTTTCTAGGTAGCATTTAATATTTATATTCTGCAATTAATCTATGAGGTTCCACCTTGTATTTAAAATGTTTTTACTTTGTTAATAATCAAGACACAATGCACTTAATTTTAGTTTAAAGACGTGCAATAAATTTCAAAGCAAATAAATTCCTAGATATGTGCAAATGTTAGAAACAGAATAAAGAAACAAAACGATTACATGGAAGAGGCAGTAAACACATGTATTTAAATAGACAGTAAGGACTAAAGTAAGGGAGCAGGTAGATGTTAACTACCTATTTAAAGTGTAATATAAATGCCTAGAAATATATTCCATAAAGCAACATTAAGTCAACGACACACGCAATAAAAATCTTGATAAAGTCTTGTAAGTATAGCTACTTATAGAATAATATGTTTATGTAACTAGGTGCAGATGTTTTCAACATGGTACAGATATATTACTGCAACAAGTGATCTTTTACTTTCGGTATTATGCTAATATACATATATGCAATGAATATCTGAGCAAGTTTGTTCCCCACACTTCCAGAATGTCATATGTTCATGTTAGTTTGTGTGTTGGAAAAGGGTGCTTTTTGTTACTGAGATTCTGGGGGGGGGAGGGAGGAACAAGATGACAAATTAAGAAGTGGCAACACTGATAGATTAGGCAGAAAAGGCAGTGGATCAGTTCAAATTTAAAGTATCTGAAAATGTGAAGTGTTAATATGAAAAATGTGAAGGGTTAATCCGGAGACAGTTGGAAAAAGCTATCGGGGACAGAACAGAATGAAACAAATAGAGAGTAGCAATACTGAATAGAGTGCAGGAAAAAATAGGTAAGGAAAGAGAGAGTTATGTGGAATAAAAGAAAAGATACATAGGATTATGGAAAAGGACATACAGTCAGAATTGAGTAAGAGGAAAAAAAGAAGAAAGGGTTCATGGGATGAAGAGGTGAATGCAAAATAATACATCAATAAAGTGTGTCTGAGTGAAGTTACACCTGTTAGGAAGGAGACAGCATAAAGAATTAGGTAAAGGAAATGCCAGTGCAAATAGATGCATTGGAAATATTACTAGAGAAGAATAAACAAGGATGATGTCCACGTAATATTCCAGCTCAAGTGTGATCTCTAATGGATAAAATGCAGTATACTGCCATAAACAAAACTGTCATTCAAGAACTTATGACAATATGGGTAGGGTTGGATTTACAAGTCAGCTTCCTGTAGGGACAAAATTATAAGGCGCCCCCTGCTCCCTAACCACAAAAAGCAAGAAAGGTAAGTATTTTCACCTGTGAGTACAGTGAGTGCTTGCAGGGTTACAGACAATAATAGAAGTGGATTGGGTAAATATAAACTGTACTGCTTACCTGGTACCCCCGCTTTCACCTGCCATGATCTCATTAAAGATGTGGGTGCTTAGGATGATTGGGCTAACTTAGAGTGGGGTTAAATGTAGTATTTGGGTATTATTATATTTACGGTTAGAGTTGTGTTAAAGTTAGTAATGGAATACATGAGATGTTTAGTTATTAAGAGATGATAGACTTACGGTAAAGAGTGTATTTTCAAGTGTAGGCTTTGCGTGCCAGTGTTTGAAGGGTTATTTGCAAAGTACTCACCCTCATATATCTTTTGCAGTACAGTCACCCTCATAAGATTTATGATATTGGTGCTGCAGGGGTGGTTACTTAGCTCTCCCCACCAGCCTATTTATGCTCAAGAAGGTACATATGTTGAAAACAAGCCCACATACTGAACAATCAGCCTAATGGGAAATTTGGCCCAAAGCATGGAATATCTTTCTTATTCAGTGACATAAGTTTTACACGGCCATTTGAGGATTAAAATAGACAAGTTATTAAATTTTTAAATAGATTCTAAAAAGATATATAATTTCATGACTGCATAGATTCTGGTCTTTAACACCTGGATCTAGACTGAATATTGTGTGTCTATGCTATTTCGGATCGTCCCTGATACTTAGAATCAGTGCATCAGGCAGCCAATATTAAACTCGTTACTGTATAAATATTTTAATTTTATAGTGAACTTACATTGCATTTTCTTGCCTATTGGAGACCCCTTTAGACCCTGTAAGAGACCAGGCATAAATATAGATTTGGGATTTTATAGCTACTTTTTGTACAAGTATTTTACTTTGTTTTTATATTTACAATAAATTTGTTATTTTTATATATATCCCTATTGGCCTTTGGTCCTATCTTGCTGTGAAAGAAGGGTAAGTGCCCCCTTTTAAAGGCACTCAAGTCTACCATCTAGAGCCAGGTTCTCATTGGCTCTGAACCAGGTGAGCACTACCATAATCACTGTTTGTGCACTACCTATTATATACATAGTACACTAGGGGGTCTCCCTCCTTTGTTTTTCTCTTTTTTCTTTGAGGAAATCTACTTCAATTAAAGGGTGCAGTGTCTCCATACGATACTAATGCTGAAGAGATTTGAGCCTGTCCCTTTATGAGGCTCTAATCCATGTGAGTTTGACTATTGATATATTATCACAAGATTTTTTTCTACTCACGGATTTACACTATATTGTGTTGCATTTTTCTGTTTTATTTACATGTACATATATACATCTGAGATTTAACCCTAATTAAGGGTAAGTGTGATTATTCAGCGCTCCACTCACTTGACTAGTACGGTCTGGTTTTTATCCAGTCCATACTGGACTCACTGTGTTTTACTTCTATATCTTAGTGGGGGATAGAGAGCACCCACTAGAGTGTGCAGCTGCTTCTATACCACGTTACTATTCTTATAAGCGCACTAAACACAGTAATCATTATTGTTTGCATAAATATAATTTGCTTACATTTGAAAAACTGTAAGCATTGACCATCATTAATCCTTAAAATCGTCCAGTCATTTTTATTTATTTATTTTTTTACTTTCCTTATGCTCATGTATCTTAATGATTTCACCTCCTCCCCTAACCACCTCCCCCCCCCACCCCCACACACACCCGTTTGCAACTTGCCTTTATATATATATAAACAAAACCAAGAGGGCTGCACTCACCTGAACATGCATACATTATAGCGTGCGGCTGGGGCCAAAATATAGAATACAGAATCCAGCATACTCGCTTCTTCACTGAACAATGATTTAAAATCTTACAGATTGTAATAGTTTAATTTAAAAACACCTCACCAAGGCAAAAAATAATGGGGCTTTAGTTACATTATATAATCATATATTGCATAAGCTTGCCACACCGTCAATGTACCATATATATATATATATATATATATATATATATATATATATATATATATATAATATTTTTTTTTTTCCCTTATGAAGGTTATTACAAATAGAGTGCTCTAAAAAATTTTTAAAGAGATTCAGACACCGTAAGCGATATAGAAGATTATTAGATTATTTTAGATTAGATTAGTTTATTTTTTATGACAAGACAGTTTTAAGGGATTATAAGAATATTATCACATCAGGTTTGTGAATACAACATTCAATGACACCTGCATTTTAATATTTTTATTTCCTGTTCCTAGAATGTGAATGAGAGCTCAGACTGTCCACCGGTTGATAACCTACTTGAGAAATATTATTTATCCACTGCTTATACCTGTGAATTTGTTTTTGGCATCATCGGAAATGGAATTGTCATGTTTGGATATATATTCTGCATGAAAAACTGGTCTAGTGGAAGCATATACCTCTTCAACCTATGTTTATCAGACTTTGCCTTTCTTTGTACTCTTCCTCTTTTGGTTGAAAGTTATGCCAATGAAACCTGGAGATATGGCGGTGTTCTATGCCAAAGTAACAGGTACTTACTCCATGCCAATCTCTATACCAGCATACTTTTCCTTACATTCATCAGTATTGATCGATACATGCTGATGCAGCACCCGTTCCGAGAACACAGGCTGCAAAGGAGGAGCACGGCTATTTTCATATCTATTGCCATATGGATTGTAGTTATGCTTGAAATCTCCCCAATACTTATTTTCATTGACATGGACAATAACAGACAGTGTCTGAGCTATGGAAGCTCTGGGAACGCTTCACAAAGTCTCATTTTCAGTATTTGTCTTACCTTCACTGGTTTTGTAATCCCTTTGTGCTTTATGTGCATTTTTTACTTTAAAATAATTCACTTTTTAAGAAACAGAAATGATCAAATTGCCACATCATTTTCTATTGAAAAACCACTCACGCTGGTGACCATGGCTGTAGTAGTATTTTCTGTCCTCTTCACACCTTACCACATAATGAGAAATGTAAGGCTTGCATCACGAGCATATTCTTGGGAGCTCAGTGGCTGCTGTCATATGATAATCAATTCAGTATATATTATAACAAGACCTTTAGCTTTCTTAAACAGCGTAATTAACCCAATCTTTTATTTTTTAATGGGAGACCATTTTAGAGAGTTGTTATTAGCCAGGATTCAGCATTTACTTAGGACTATTAAATCTCGATGTCCTTTAAAATGTTAATTCTCAAAACACCACACATTACTGTTTAGTGAATAATCATTTTGATTGCGTATGCATTGTCAAGAGGCTTTTAACCAGCAGTATATGAAGGCTCAAAGAAACAACTTAAAGGAACAATAATAGGTCAGTAACACAAACATGTATTCCTGACCCTATCGTGTTAAAAACATCATCTAGCACCCCTTGCCTCCCTAAATATAGTAAAATCTTACTTGTATTCATGTCTGCAGCTGCTGCCTCTGCCCCTGAATTGCCTGCTGTCTGTGACATCATCAGAAGTGATTCTGTGAGCCAATCACAATGCTTTCCCATAGGAGTGACTGAGTCTGTCAAGGAGGCAGATCAGGGGCAGAACAAGCACAAGTCAAAACACAGCCGTGGCCACGCAGCACCTCCTCATAGAGATTAATTGAATCAATGCATCTCTACGAGGAAAGATCAATGTCTGCATGCAGAGGATGGAAACACTAAAAAGGCAGTACTGCACAGTGTGCAGCACTGCCCCAGGGAGCACCTCTAGTAGCCATCTCAGTAGTGGTCAGTTGAGTTGTCAGTAGGCTGTAATGTAAACACTGCATTTTCTCTGAAAAAGCCTGAAGGTAAGGAGTATACTCACCAGAACAATACTCTGTAGGCTGTAATGTAAACACTACAATTTCTCTTAAAAGCTTTTTCTTGCAAAAACCCTGAAGGCAAGGAGTATACTCACCAGAACAATAAGCTGTAGTTGTTCTGATGACTATAGTGTCCCTTTAAAATGTTTATGTGAAACACAGCATAGTTTGGTTCTTTGCATGATTAATATATCTTAATCTGAATAATTAAATAGACTGCATACATATCAGAGCTTGAAAAAGAATGTGAGAGATGCTAATTATGGTAGAAAAAATACTTTTTTTCAGGCCTACATTGAATAGATTGCAACAAGAACAGAGAATATGAGTACTATGAGAATGAATGAAAGCTTAGAGGAGGTCAGTAGCTTGCCCTTCGGTAAATCTCTGCTCAGATCCAAGGTATATCAGATTAATCCCACCCATAAGGGCAGTCCAGTTCTATATAAAATGAAATTGTGCCTGTGTATTATTATAGAAGGAATTATTATGATTCAGATTATGAGACGAGTTATTGGAAGAGTACTAAACTAAACAAGTCTATCTTATTTCATAGGTCTGCAAAATGACTACAAAATCATTTACTTTTATTAAAAATAATAATGAACTGACAGTGTAATATTGGACATTTCATGTATATATTTGTATTATTTTCTTAAAGTCAAAGTTAACTTTTTTTAAATTAAACTTGTTAATACTTATTTGGTGATAATACCACTTAACGGCTCTGAAATTCTGTTGAGCGGAACAGACATCTGGCTTAAATTCGGGTATCCTGACAAATTTGTGGTTTTGAGTAAAAATGCTTTGGTAGTGCAGAATTTTCTCGCCGTGAGCAAGTCTAATTTACAAGATACTATCCTCTCACAGTAACATTTCATAACGTATAAATAATTGTATTTATTTATTAAAGATATATGTATATATGTATTATCTTTGTAGCATTGTAATGCTTTACATGTAATAAAACATTTTGTTTTTGATAATCATAATTGTTTTCGATTTGAAAGAAAGAAATACTGTGTGGTTTGTGATCATATTACTGGGCACATTTGTACCCAATAGGCCTGCAATGACTAATTCTTCTTGAGCTACGTGATTTTCTGGCAGCAATTAATTAACAGAAAAGCAAATAAAGCCAGCGTACAGTTGAGTAGCATGATCACTTTAGATCCTAGCATAGACAATTCCTTACTGTATGTATTCCTAAAGAAAAGTGACTCTATAGCATAGTAGTTAAAATAAAGTGTATTCTTGATCTAAAAAAAAAATTAATTAAAAGTACAGTCCACCAAAATAATTCAAATGGCACTTAGGCACCCTCTATCCCAGTTCCCTTCTCCACCTTCTCATGATTTCACTTGTTCACTCTTTAGAATCAGTCTACAGGTAGTTTTCACAGTCATTTCAATCTTATTGTTTCCTACTTTATCAGCACCTTCCCCACCCTCCATATGAGTCACTTCCCCCATACAAGATCAATTCCTTTTTCAAAAGTCCCTTATCACCCATTTACTCTGTATTTATAATGTCCCTCTTTGTTCCAGAATATTCATTATCAGCTTCCATTTTCCCCCCTAAGTATTAGCGACACTAGTAATGCTCTCTCCTCTCCTCTTCTTTTCATAATACATATTTAAAATGTATATCTTGATTAGTGATGTCCCGAACGGTTCGCCGAACGGTTTGCGAACGGTTCGCCACGGACTCATCATTGAGTAAACTTTGACACTGTACCTCACAGTCAGCAGACACATTCCAGCCAATCAGCAGCAGACCCTCCCTCCCAGACCCTCCCACCTCCTGGACAGCTCACTAAGAATGCAGCTTCACAAAGAATGTAAAATGGATGCTGTCCAGGAGGTGGGAGGTCTGGGAGGGAGGGTCTGCTGCTGATTGGCTGGAATGTGTCTGCTGACTGTGAGGTACAGGGTCAAAGTTTACTCAATGATGAGTCCGCGGCGAACCGTTCGTGGCAAACCGTTCGGCGAACCGTTCGCGACATCACTAATCTTGATCTTTGACTGTTATAGATGAAACAGCCTACTAATATTTTCTCTGAATGATGAGCTGAAGTGGTCTGGATGCCTGTAGTGTCCCTTTTTACATTGTATAAAGATTTCATAAACATTTTCTTAGATCAGAAGTAGGTTGGGTGACACAAGTGATTTCTCAGATTTGATACCTGTATACCAGCTGGCACTGCCATTATATTTAAAGGCCAATATTTAGAAGGTTGGTAGGTTTGAATTAAGACCTGATTGTAATTAAATAATTTCTAAGATGAGGTATATGGAAACTATAAAACCCATCCCAAAACTTTACACATACAATTTGACATTGCACAATGCTTATTTAACTTATGTCCAACCTTTTTTGATATCAAAAGGAGTTGATATATTTAAGAAGATTGATGCTAGATCTCTCCTCCCTGTGCCAGCAGTTTTAGCTCGGGTGTTTGGTTCAGTGGGAGAAAGTGTAACTAATCAATTCCCTACGTACAAAGGCCTGCGGTGTGCATTTATTATTTAATGTTTGCAAACATTAGGGTAATTGCAGACACTCGGTTTTCAAATGAGCCAATTAAAGAGATTTAAAAGGATAAATGTAAGCATCATAACAACTCATGCAGAGATAAAGGCATACAAATTATTATTTTTAATCAGATAACTGGTAGATACTGCATATAGGCATCACATACAAATGTTACTTTAATATCTCTATGGCATTAAAATGAAAATATAGAACCAAATAAAATATAAATAAATGGAAATGTATGTTTAGTAGATATATCCCAAATTAAAAAAAAATGCATACATTTAATTATGCATTTTTTCAGAGGGAGTATGTTTGAAAACAGCTTGCAAAAGCTACACATTTCTTGTCTGCTGTCTTTGTAGTCTTCTAACTCAGCAAACCACAGACTTCCCACTGTAGTTCAATGAGAAGTCTTTGCAAGGCATGTGCTCTGGGCAATTGCTGCCCCTTGAGTTTAGCTCCATGAAATAACAAGACCTGTTGTTTGACTGACAGCCAGGGGATGTAATAAGGTTAATTTATAAAAGTGCCAATTTCTATTTAAATCTGTACTTTTTGTAAAATGAAAAAGAGGACACACCCTTCACACATAAAGTGTTTCAGCAAGCTAAAGTAGAGCGTCCCTTTAACCATTTAGTTATTTATAACTAAATGTGACAAAAAGTATGTCTACATTTAAATTTACATACTGATTTTTCAGACTCTGTTTATTACAAGATAATAGATATCTACCAGTTGCGTACATACAGGGGTCGCAGGGGTCGCAGCTGCGACCAGGCCCGTCACTCAAGGGTGCCCGGCCACCCTGCGGGCCCCTGCGACCGGGTGTCCGCCGCCATGTGTTGTGGGTCAACCGGCCCACGCGGTAGAGCGGCCGGGGCCGCACGTGAAGGGGCCCATCGGGTGGACCGTGCTATTAGGGCCACGCAATCGCTATCAATTTCCAGGGGGTCTGGTCAGTGCTGCGGCGCTTTAACAGCACAACCAGGCCCCCTAAGATGACATCAGACACTAGCAGGAAGTGACTGCCCTGGTCACTCCTCCCAGCTATCAGACAGAGCCGCGTGGGAGGAAGAGAGGAGGCTGAGGAGGAAGCCATCAGGCTGAGCCACCACTGGACCCCAGGGAAGTTACCCTCCTGCATCTAAAAGGTAGGAAACAGGAGGGTGACTAAACTATTTTGTATATGTGTGTGTTTGTTTGTATCTATGTTTATGTGTCTGTATGAATGTTTCTCTAACTGTGTGTTTGTATGTGGGTGTCTGTATGTATATGTGTGTGTGTGTATGTGTGTTTGTATGTATGTGTGTGTATATATGTGTCTGTATGTGTGTGTGTCTGTATATATGTGTCTCTGTGTGTGTTTGTATGTATGTGTATGTATGTGTGTGTGTGTGTGTGTGGTGTAGTGGCGTACATACAGGGGACCTCTGTGACCGGGTGCTCGCCGCCATGTGTGGCAACCGGGTGCCTGCCGCCATGTGTGGAGCCCCGGCCTGTGCAGTGTAACCATGGGAAATGGGGGGGGGCCCACGGATCACTTTTTGTCCTGGGCCCCATGGATTGTGTGTACTTCACTGATGTCTACCTAATATTTTCTGTAAATGCTAAACAAATACATTCAAATGTAAAAATGTGGACATTTACCTTTTCTAGATTCCTCTGAACTTAAATCTATACACAAAATAAATATTCTTATTCATCACAGATTTTAAATGCACTTATCAGCCACAACATTAAAACCTCTGACAAGTGACGTGAGTAGCATTGATTATATTGCTACGATGGGACCTGTCAAAGGATGGAGTATTATAAGGCAGCAAGTGAACAGTCAGTTTTCGATTTTATGTGTTGGAAGCAGGAAAAATGGGCAAAGAGAAAAGATCTGAGTGACTTTGACAAGGGCCATATAGTGATGGCTAGATGGCTGGGTCAGTGTCATGCGGTATCTCTTCCGTGTTTGGAACTTCCGCTATGCAGAGCCGGCCCGCCCCCTTCTGACGCGGCTCTGACAGTACTTAGGGAGACCGCGCCAGGGAAAAGGCTCTTGGTGATTGTGGGACCTACTTCCGGGTATACACGCCGGCTCCACAAGCTCTGACAAGCCGTCCCAGCCTTTGAGCCAATGCAAGGATTGTTGCATGCCATAGAGGATTACTGGAGAACGGATACTTTGCTAATTTACAAGTGGACTATAACTCTGATCTCTTGGAGGACAACTCACCTTAACCTTAAGTATATCTTTCAACTATTGTCTGCAATATTCTTTATTAATGAACCAATTACTGCTTGCTCAAATCTTCTCTGCTTCAAGTTATTAATTATATGGAGGACAACTCCCATCAAGCTTAATCACTATGAACTGTTTCTTGCTTTGCAAATACTCTCTACTACCTGCTTAATGTTTCTATTGAAGATTATTCCCAGCAACCTAAAGAAATTTATTTAATACATCTCTGAGGAAATACTTATTAATTAACTTTGTATTGTTTGTTAAGCTGCACTTTCTTCTTATTGGATTATTGCCTATATGCAATTCATTTAAGTTTATCAATCACTAAAACTTCGTTTGATTCTCAAATTGCCAGCAATCCTCAATTTTCTTAAAGCTACAGTATTGATACTTTAAAGATTCTTCGTTTCTTCACTGTTGTAATTAAGGAGTTCTACAAGCTGCAGTTGAGTTCCAATCCAAATAACCCAAGTAGCATAACAGTCAGGACATCTCCAAAATGGCACGTCTTGTGGGGTGTTCCCAGTATGCAGTGATTACTACCTTCCAAAAGTAGTGCAATAGAGGACTACCAGTGAACCAAGATGAGGGTAATGGGATCCCAAAACTCATTGATGCATGTGGGGAGCAAAAGCTAGCCCATCTGGTCCAATAATACAGAAGAGCTTCTGTAGCTCAACTTTCTGGAAAACGTAATGCTGGCTTGATAAAAAGGTGTCAATATACAGTGCATTACAGTTTGCTGTGTATGATGCTGCAGGGTGCCCATGATGACTCCTGTCCACTGCCGAAAGCGCCTTTAATGCGGACGTGAGCATCAGAACTGTACCAGGAAACAATGGAAGAAAGTTGCCTGGTCGGATGAATCACGCTTTCTTTTAGATCAGGTGGATGGCCAGGTACGTGTGCATCGTTTAGCTGGCAGCAGGATGTACTATGGGAAGAAGTCAGGCCGACGGAGGCAGTGTTAATACTCTGGGCAATTTAAATAACAGTACCCCTAATGTACAGGTTTTATGGTGTTTTCAAAAGTTACAGAGTCAAATATAAGGCTTGCGTTTCAGTTTTTTCACATTAAAATTCGCCAGGTTGGTTATGTTGCCTTTGAGA